TTAATCTGTAAGGAATGACTAACTTTTTCAAAAATGAATTTTAACGCTTTTTGACAAAGTATCAATGTATTTATACGCTACCATTAGTAAGTAATTAAGCTATTTTAATAAAAGGTATAAAATTCCAATTCTAAAGCAAATCGTATAAATTGTGCCTAATATATAGCCTATAGACTAATATGCTATCCATATCAGTTAGGCTATATGTGAAAAATCTATACGAGTGGCTACACTGTAAACTAAAGATTGATTACTTTCCATTGATTAAAAAATTCGAAACAACAAATTGAGAGAGAAAGATGAATTATGTATATAGACAACTGCTTGATGTCATCGGACTGGAATGGAATAAGGCAGAACAACACATGGGCAATCTGCCAAGGGATTGTCTCACTAGAGGAATTTTTATAAGAAACTGGCCACTATTTACGTGTTAGACAAGTGAAGCAAATCCGGAAAACTTCATGTAACCAGCCCGTTGGCGAGGCTCGAATCCGCGACCAATTACCATTGTTCGGTGATTTTATCCATTCGGCTACTGTCTTAAGGACAATAATCAAAACTACTGTAACGATAATAAAAATTTATATAAAATAGATATGAATATATATAAAATAATGTTTACACAAAATATTTTAACTCTATTAATTTAGCTGATTTTTTATTTTAGTCTAATTAGGCAATAATCTAATTATCAGATAGACACATCTGGCAATTACATCAAAACTGTTAGTGCAATAATTTGTATTATTGTTCTAGCACTTCATCCAATAATCTATCAGATATCGTACAACCTGATAATTAAATTGTTGCCAAATTAGATCAACATAAAGATAGCTAAATCAATACAGTATATTAGTAGAGTTGAGTTGTAACATTTCTTATTGTCATTCATTAATTAAAGCCCAGTTGAGCAAATCTATAAAATTTATTGCCATAAAAATGGCGTGTTAATGTAAAAATCATTTCTTGATATAAATTATAACTAGATTTAATTTTTACTTATTGCGTTTAACCTTTTAAAAAGATAATTTACACTGTATAACAGGGGTGGCTAAATCTTGTCATGACTGGAGCCATATCCTGTATTAAAAATGGTATTTTATATTTAAGTCAGATAGGAATTATAAAAACAGATCATTTGAAGTAACTTAAAAAAAATAAATAATCCAGCAACGAATTGCTTAACTTTCCCGTCAACATTTATAATTTTGGTGGGGCCATTTATTATGATATTTTATTAAAAACTTTTTATATTTTTAATTATTATAAAATAGAAAAAGGCTTAATTTTGAAGGTAGGAATGGGTTTTATAAAAAAAATTTTAAATGCTGATAACGAGGAAAATCGTCATTAAGTCCGATCCTACTGGAGATACGACAAACGACTCCTTTTATCTCCACACTCCCTCGACCTTTAACTACCAAAATTTAATAGCACGAATCTTTCTAATACACAAACCTTCCTGCAAAATTTTAGAAATTTTCGAAAGCGCAGGAGTTATTAAACTTCAAAGAGAGTAAACAAAATCGTGCCACATAAACAAACACACACACTCTGATATCCACACAAACAGAAAAAAAACCCTGAAGTTTTTGGCATTTCTCGACGTTTCAAAGTCCCACTCCAAAAATGTAAACATTTTGGTGGGGATCCGATCGTTATACTTCCCCTCTGTTATATATAACAGCCGGGAAAGCAATATTTTGAAGATATACATATTTGAAAAATATAGTTTATAACTTCTAATAAGTCTGACCCCATTCAAAATATGAGTTATAACATCTATCTCTCCACCCCCTTCATCTTTAATTATTAAAATTGAATAGCATCAATGCCCCGTATATATATANGTAATATTATGAAGCTTTTTATTTTATTATAGTATTTTATTTTAAAGACATTTTAAAAACAATAAAATTCGAAGAATTGTAATATTATTTTAGCAATTATTAAGGTCTAGAAAAAATGAATTTTTTTAACCGTATGAAAAATAATCAGTTTTTGTTATTAAACGACAGGATAGATGCTTTAAGGTAACGCAAAGTTAGGTGTATTTAGTTGTTAAATACGTGGAGAAACCCGGAAAACTTAATGTGTTCAGCCCGTTGTCTAGGAGCGAACCCTTGATTAATTACTAATGTTTGAAGGTTCGATCCACTCGGTCATTAAGTGGGCATTTTACAAGAGAAACTTGGTAAATAATAGCTTATTGCTGATTATAAAAAAGTTTTATATAATAAACGAAGGTAGAAAATTTCTTAATTAACAAATAAATATTATTTTAAATTTAATTAGGCCTATATTATTACTAATATAGATTTGAGAACGTTTTAAAGACACTACAGTAGTCCCCACTATAACACCGTTGCTAATTCCGTGTTATATGAATTCCATGTTGTACGAGTCACTTAGATTTTACAAATACGTGAGCCGTTCACAGCCCGGCACACGTATTTGTAAAATCTAAGTGACTCGTACAACATGGAATTCAGATAAAACGGAAAAATCAACGATCTTATAGGGGGGGGGTCGACTGTATTTATGTTGAATATTTTAATAGTAAATTTTAATTGTAAATGACTTCTTTTAAACTCTTCTTTTTCCTTAATAAATAGAAGTGTACATTCTAATTTTACTTTTTTTAAACAGAATACAGTAAAAACAAAATTTTGGCAAGTACTAAAGGGTAGTATGGCTTTAATACACGAAATACTTTTTTACTAAATATTCTATACTGGGGATGTGTCTTATATGCCTTAAAATACAGTATATAAATTACTACTACTGTTAGACTGAATGCTTCAAAACTCAGTTTAAAAAAAAGTTGTTTCACTTGTTATGTTAATCTTTGTAAATTAAAAAGGAACAGATTTTATGAATTAATCCTTTCTTGGTTAATATTTTAGGAAACAAACATTAAAACATAAACACTAATTGTTTTCAAATCCTAATCATTATCAATCATTAAATTATCAATGTCTATTGTCTAAACTTGATATTTCAATTATATTAAAACTAAAATATTTAGTAATTATTCATATATTTAAAAATCAAATTTATTCCATGTAATTCTTGGAATTTAAGGAAAATCAAAAACTTTTGAAATACTTTGTATATTTATTTTCAAATATATTTCATTAATAACAGTATATAAAATTAAAATATCCATCAATGATAATAGAGAATTTAATATGATATAAATTGTTTTAGTATCTTTAATTTCTTATTGATCAGTGTTTCAAAAACTTATTTACTATTTGTATTTACTTTTAAAAGCTGGTGCTTGATACCTACAAGATGGGAAGAATTCAAAGATTTAAAAAGTAGTGTTTTTCTTAGTTCTTTACATATATTTCTTAAAATATTGTGTAAAACAAATTGATTTTAATATCCTTAATATCATTTTTCAATATCCTTGATCTTGTTCTAAACAAATTTGCATAAAAAATGCTGTTTAATCTAAATTTTAGTGCTAAATAAATAGATATTAATCATTTTTGTCTATTAAAAACTATTAAATGTAATTAACGTAATGCAAAGTAATACAAAAATTATAAATTTTTAAAAATGGAAAGTATAAACTTTGAGGATGAACTGGTCACTGTAGTTACTCTGCTGAATTAATCAATGTACCTTTAATAGTGGCTGTCTTTAATGAGCATAAAGACAATATTAAAAAAAAGAAGATCTGCTACAGTTCTGTCTTCCCTCATACAACTTTCCAGTATAGACGTAGATTAGCAGGTGGTCAAAATCATCAGAATTTCTCATCCCTCCTATGCCAGCATTGCAAAAAAGTGGTACATGACA